TAAAGGAATGAGGTGGCAACTCTAGGTTGGGAGCTTAAGTTACACTATGCAGAGCTCAGTGAGAGCTGATTCAAGGGAAGGGACACCCACCCTCTTCACACAGCACATAGGAACATAGCTGAGGCTGTCAATCACAGGCTGTGTGCTGGAGCTCCTCCCTGTCACCTATTAATCTCTTGGTGTCAGGAAAACTTGTCAAATGTCACTCATGCAGATAGCAGAGGAAGAAGGCAGCAGGCAGAAATGTCACTCTGGATTGAGAGTAATTACACATTATGAAGAGATATGCTTTGTTCATATTTCATGTCTAATGTTTACAATCACTTTAATCATTCTCCTCTATAATTAAGCCCTGTGGGTGAGATGAAATGTATCAGAGGTGCGTGGCCAGGAGGAAACAGGCTGAAGCCATAATCCACATCATTTTGTATAAGAGCCGGGTCTTGGAGTGTGCTATTTAAATTTTTTTGTATTCTAATCTACTTCTGTTAGATTGGATGGACTTATTTGAATGTCGGCAACCAATCGGTGTTTTGGACTACAGGAGAAAGTTTTATAGTACTTGGAGCAGTGCTCCAATTTCTTTACATATGACTTCCATCTTTGTTCAGGCATCATCCAGGGTCAGCATCTATTTCATGGAATAAGATGTAAATCCTAATGCCTTCACAGTAGTCCTATTGTCACTGTTGCAGCCCCTCAACTTGGTCGAATGTACAGCTTGATTGAGTGTTAGAGGAGGATTGCTTTTCTTCTGCTATCAGCAGGCTGTTGTCATCATTTTCCCTAGAAAATACATAGCTCAGGTTTACACTTTGATCATTTTTGACCATTGATGTTTCCAACCCTCTGAAGGCAGTAGACCCATGCACTAGGCACCATCTATAGGATACAGTCAATTTTATCCTAATTCTTAGGCAGCTTGTTTCATTAGTAGATTTCGTAAGAGCGTCAAGTCATCAATTGATGTTGAAAATGACCTGTAAAAATTTATCCCAAGAGGAGCATTAATAAAGTCAACATTTTTTAAGCTCATAAAATGGTAATGTCCACAAGAGAACCGACCACGCCAAGAGCAAGGAAAACAGAACACCAAAGATGTCTGGAGAGGAGTTTGTAGACTTTGGCTGTTTCCTTACCTTTCATATTTATTGGAAGCCTGTGGCCCAAAGATGCTAAATCAAAGTCATGTCAGACGAAGCCTGCAATTTTGTGCCAAGTATCAAAGACATATAACTGAGGAACTGCCTAACGGAACTGGAAAGTGGTAGACAATGGCCAAAACCACCCATGCATTTGTATGTTTTTTGATGTCTCACGTTGGGCGTCCTTCTCCTTGAGCTTATTTTACAGGTTCCACAATGTCTAAGAAACCAGCTGAAGGTACGGAGACAGGAAATTATTAAATTAATGAGCATTCTTGTGGCTTTTTTTTCAAGAGACAGAGCTTTGCATTTGGAGGAACTAAAGTTAACTCTTTTTCATTCTTGAATAAATTTCATAGAAATCTTTGTGTGTGGACAATATGATGTAATTAAAGTTTCATGCTCAAGTTAAGTAAAAAGCCATGGGAATTCCAACTATGCAACCAGAATTATTTGGGATTTTATTGATATGTTCTGCAAGACCTTACAGAGAATCTATAGACAAAACCTTGTTTGTAATTTTAGATAAAGTAGTAAAGGGTTGTGTAGCGAAGACCTATGATGGGCCCTGCAGATTTGCTCTAGGTTCTCTTCCCGTATGGGTATAAGGCAGCCAGGCACAAAGCAGCACCAACAGTCTCACAACTCAATAACCAGTCTGTGAGTGTTATTTTAAGGTTTACTGCTTTTTGAATTTGATTGCAATGCAGGGTAAGCCTTGGGATACTCCAAATTTAGTGCAAAAAATAGCAGAGGACATTCTCTGACTTAACTAGACTCCTCAGGATAACTCCCTTCTGGACAATGAATAGAGAAAACAAGCAAACTCAGTGACTCCAAGCACTGGAGCAGTCCCAAGTCAGCAACACTAGAGCAGGTGATTAAAGGGTTAAAGCAGCAACAGTCACTAGGCTCTCTCACTCCGGCCTATACTCACAATGTCCCCGTGTACTTGGATGCCCCTGTTCAATAGCAGCCAAAAACGTCTGTGATCCTCCAGACCAGATATTCAGTGAACCCTCTTAGCTTGACTCAAACTCTTCTCAGAAAGTAGGCTCCTCAGCTCTGCCTGAGCTTGGATGTCGATGAACTCCTGCATACTTAAGCTAATCTTCTGAGAGGGGCAGCTGCCCTTTAGACTGGGTCTTCTCCTCCTGGACAAGAACCCTACTGTTCGAGGACCCAAACTAGTTATGTTCCCTCAGCCACCTACTGGGCATCCTTTTCCCCAGGGACTGGCCAAGATCACATGAATATTCAAGCTCTGGGTCTGCCTCTGCAAGATCACTACATTCTAGAATACATTAGAAAGCAGGGGAAAGTAGTTGAGCCTAAAATTAACCAGATTTAGAACAGTCAAAAATAATCACACACTGCTCCACTTGTTACAGGGGAGCTAAAAAACTAAATTTACCTGAACCTCTCTAGCAATGTATTCGAGGGGGATGCTACAGTTAGAAGCTCTGTCTGCTATCTGTGTCCTGTTGGGAAAGATTTCCTGTTACTTTCCATCTTATACAACATGGCAGAAAGTGCATGAAAATCTTCCTAAAGTATGGGAAATAGCCCTGTTAGAAAAAAAATCACTTAAAATGGGTGTTCCCATTGGGACATTTCCCCTCACCTTCTGTTCTGGTGACAACTGTAAAACTTTGGATTTTCCATCACTGTCTCTCTCACTGACAGTGGTCATGAGGAGTAATAGAGGGGTGAACTTCCCCAGTGCAGACAGAGAATGCAAAAATAACCTCTGGAGGGACAGTCACCACTCGGGTAAATTTAAATGGCAGTATTCTTTACTGAAATGACAAGAAAAAGCTGTAAAATACTCAACGCGTTTCGGCTGTCAGGCCTAAGTCATGTGTTGGCTGTTTTACAGCTGTTTCATGTAATTTCAATAAAGGATACTACCATTTGATGTTTACCCAAGTGCCACTATCCCTCAAGTGGTTCACAGTACACAGAGGCATCAGCAGCCTTTTAGTCTGAGCATCGGGTGGAGCTGAGGATTGAAGAAAGGTAGCAGCACCACTACAACTGTCTGCAATAATAACCTGGCAGTTCTAATCCTTCCATACTCCATCCAAAACTAAACAAAATGGCTAGAGATATACTTTAAAAATCTTTTGAGTGAGCGAGTAAAGTCATTTCCCTGAAACTATTATGCGGTCTTTAATCTGTTGAATAGCTGGCTGCTATCAAATACTTCTGAGAAAAGTGTGTTTTTTTTTTTTTTACGATAGGTTTACTTTAATAAAGGTCCCCATAGGTATTTCCAATAAATTGTTGGTACCATGAAAAATAATATTAAACATTTGTTTTGGATAATAATCACCATACATTTTATTTTATTTTGTTAAAACACATGTATAAGAGTCAATGGTCTTTTTGATTTCTGGACCAATATACATATAGTTTAAAACACTGGAAATGTTTGTATCCATCACCAACAGTTTGCATTAGAGTTTAAGGAACATCATAATTTTTTTCCCGAAACTTTGTTACTATAAAAAATCTAAACATTTTAAACAAGTTTTATGTTATAAATTTATACACAGATTAGTAACATTTATACTGAGGTATTTTACTAAAACTGCATGGTTGCACAATCTGGTGCAGCTTTGCATAGAAACCAATCAGCTTCCAGGTTATATTGTCAAAGCGTAATTGAACAATCTGAAGTTATTTGCTGATTGACTACCATGCACAGGTTCAGTTTTAGTAAATCTCCCCCAATGTTTCATGTATAAAAGTGAACCTGTGCTTTTCCCATGCAGAGCAAAGCAAAAGGTTGACCTACATGCCCACTCTCCACGCCCATTTATATTCACCTTGCCATCATTTCAATGCCATTCCATTTGTCCACCTAGAGTCCAAAAAAATACCCAGCAATTCTGTGCATGGGGAGCATGTGACTCCCTCCCTGCCTCCCACAATACAGCACTGGCTTTCTAAATGTCAAGTTTCTATGGCCCAGCACAGTCACTTGGGGCAGGGAGAGAATCCTTAGCCTTATGAGGCTGCAACTAGAGTGACTTGTAGCTTACACATGTTCTTTGCATTAGTTCTAGTAGGGGAACAGCATATCAAGGGACAGAAAGAAAGGTGAGTATAAGTAGGTGGAGAAGGACATGGGGCAGAATTTAAGTGAACCTCTTGCTTTGCCCTTGCCGTACCCTGCATAGGTTCAGTTTAATTTCTTATTTATGATAAAACCATCATGCTTATCTGAGCTATATAGAGTAGATATTAGAAGCACATCCTTATTCATGCATTTTGAAACTATTTAAGAAAACAGCAAGAAAGTTGAGGTCTTTCTGTTATTGTTTTACTGCAGTCCTAAAGTTAAATTGTGTTCCATTTAAAGACAAATGTAGAACTGAAGGTGACGGCAAGACATACTAAATCTGAGTAAATAGAGGCGGGCAAGGAGTGAACATAATGTAAGAGCTGGCAATATACCGGAGGTGATGCTGACGGCAGTTGGATTATGGTATGGAATATTAAGTGCTAGGATAGAGAAAAGACATGGTAAAATGAGCAACTACATTTGCAAATGCAACATATGAGGGGCGTTCAAGTCAAACCGGGACTTTTGAGTTTCTATATTAAAAGAACAAATTTATTTTTTACATACTCCTCTGCTACATTTGTATACTTATCCCAGCATTTAATAATGCCTGAAAAACTTTGGCATAGAAAGATTTGTCAGTACACCTGAACCATCCTAGGACATCCTGCTTCACTTCGTCATCATTGTGTTCATTCCCAAAGAAAGATTTGTCTCTTGTGCAGTTTCACAACAGGTTATGCATCGATTATCCAGGAACAGCCATTCCATGCACTGATTGTTCACAGGATTGACTATTGTGGGCTGGGAACCACCATGGCTAGGATCGTCACTGATGGACATAGGACCATCTTTGAAACAGTTACATCATTCAAATGTCTTACTGCAGCTGAGCGTCTCATCACCGTATTGTGTTTGAAGTTTTCTGTAGATATCCGCAGGTTTTACACCTTCGTTCACAAGAAACATCATCATCACACGCTGTTCCATGCACACACTAACACTGTTAATAAAATTTAAAGTGCAGCGCTAGAAATTAAAATGTGACACAATAAAACGTGATCATAAAAAAGTCCCAATTGTGGTGACTTAGGGTAACAATGCACACTAACCAGAAGTGCACATAAATAGTGCAGTGTAGTAAGGATGGAGTTCAAAAAGTAGTCATCGGCATGGAGAGGGTAGATGTATTCCCTTGATCAATGAAGGTCCACACGATGATACAGAGCTAAGCAGAAGAAATCCACTAGATGGCAGAAAATAATCACGTTCCACCAAAGAAAACACTGCTCCTCCACTGCACATCAACGATATCTGACTGCACAGCGGTCTGTAGTCCAGCTGGTACCTGGCCCTCCTGGACCTCCTCCGGCCCGGCATATACCGGTTCCAGGCAATGAACAGCACCGAGCCCAGAGCCGCCACCGCCACTCCAATCACCATTGACAGGTTCCTCAATGGTGATTTAAGCGGCGGTGGCGGCTCTGGGCTCGGTGCTTTTCATTGCCTGGAACCGGTATATGCCGGGCCGGAGGAGTTCCAGGAGGGCCGGGTACCAGCTGGACTACAGACCGCTGTGCAGTCAGATATCGTTGATGTGCAGTGGAGGAGCAGTGTTTTCTTTGGTGGAGCCGTGATTATTTTCTGCCATCTAGTGGATTTCTTCTGCTTAGCTCTGTATCATCGTGTGGACCTTCATTGATCAAGGGAATACATCTACCCTCTCCATGCCGATGACTACTTTTTGAACTCCATCCTTACTACACTGCACTATTTATGTGCACTTCTGGTTAGTGTGCATTGTTACCCTAGGTCACCACAATTGGGACTTTTTTATGATCACTTTTTATTGTGTCACATTTTAATTTCTAGCGCTGCACTTTAAATTTTATTTTCATGTGAGGATTTTTTGGTTATCCTGTGTGCTTCAGCTGCTTGTCTATTGAAAGCGCTCACTTTTTTGCTCTCTGTTTTACACTAACACTGTTGTCTGCCATCTTGATTAACGGTCTATGGACTGGCCCGCAACATGTGCGCCGCCTATCTTGACTGCCACACTAACATCCCTTTTGATACCTGTAAAATGAAAAGTTCCGGTTTGACTTGAACACTCCTTGTACTATGCCATTTGAGTTCCCTAACAGAGACAAGACTATTATAGTTGCCCTCAAAGGGCCAGTTGTATCTGTAAAATTAGATGTCTAGAACAGCCACCCCCCCCTTTAAGTGGATGTCAAGCGCCACCCCGCCATCAAGTCAAGAGTCTCCCTTACATCACAGTTCACCTCCCTTACCTTTTGCTGCTGCCGGGAAGAAATTGCAGGGCTGGAGGAGGGCCAGAGGAGGACTGGAGTCAGCTGCCCGAGTCTGATCAATGAGAAGACCAGGGTGAGCGGAAATGAGAGGGTACTGCAGCTGCACAGAGAGGTGCAGGATCTATCCTCTATCCTCCTCTCTGCTGCCGACGGCTGAGATGGGGGGCAGAGATGAGCCTTTCCACGGCTGCATGGAGAAGAGTAGGATCTGTAGAGGATTTCTGCCCTCCTTTCTGCTGCCGAGTGCTGAAGCAAGGTGGGGGTGCTGATGAGGGGGGTTCCACAGCAGCAGGGGAGGTGCAAGGGCTACATGAAATGGCCAGATTCGGCCCATGGGCCTTGTTTTTTACATGTGTATTAAAGTGTCACCAATGGGAAGAGGACATCCATATATTAGAGCATCCTTTGATTCTCTAATATATAGATACAGTACAGGGGTCCTCTGCACTGTATGTCATTCACTGAGTTGGGCTGTTTTAAACAGAGACAGCTGTCTGTCCTTGGTTGTGGGACTCATTCACTCCACTGGTAAAAGAAAGGGCTTTGCAGTTCCAGATCAATATCTTACCAGACAACAGAAAGGTACAGGACAAGCTTTTCCAGTTTCATGTGTGATCAAAACCAGACCTAAGAGATCATCCCTGATTCAGTGGCAGGATTCATCACTTAATAAACCATAGCAAATACATTCAAGGCTTGTGAATCATAAATTTGTCTTGAGCAAATTACCACATCCCTTCCAGACCCATAAACATTTTCAAGACTTCTTTGCCATGAAGGATAAGTGTAATTTTCTAAACACTTAGCTTTCCTGATATATATAATCTACTGCCAAGTAGTAAACAGAGTTTGTACTTCTTTTTCAAAGACAGTCTGGCTTGAGCTGCCCAGCTTCCTCAGATCTCCTTGCAGTGTTTATATTCTCTGATGCTTCATATAAGCTCACTTTTGAGGTGCTTATTCCAAGAAGAAGACAGGGAAGTGGAGTTTATGTCAAGCTGGACTTTATTCAGTAAGCCCAACCCAGATCCTAATTTCACCATCTGTCCTCTTAAATTTGGTGAGCACCTTTCAGGAAGAAACCAGGGAAAAGGTAGCATTATGTAATTGATAGAAGAACCCTAGGTAATTACTAGAAGCAAAAACATCAGGTGGGCAGGAGAACCCTGGGGAAGCAGTCAAAGCAACAACAACAGGTAGACAGGCAAACTGCTGGGAATCATCCAAATTAGAAGAGGAAGCAACATAAGATCCATCAGATGCACCAATAAGGATCAACTACATTTCCAGCATCTCCTCCAACTGCTCCTCAGATAGATGACTTTATAGCAGCACAGTGGCTTAGAGGTTAGCAATCCTGTTTTACAGCACTAGAATCCTCAGTTTAAAACCCAACCCAGACACTACCTGTATGGAGTGTGCACATTCTCCCTGTTTCTTCCCACACTCTAAAGACATGCTGGAAGATTAGTTGGCTCTAGTGTAGCTCTACCCCCCTAAGGGCCACTTGATTATGTTTGTCCCCAGTGGTTGCCCTGACCAGCCTCCTGACACCTCTGACACTCTGGGTTCAGACATATTTCAGCAATAGAGGATAAAATGTAAAAGACACAATTCTTTAGTAACACCTCTATATTAGCATTTTCTTAAAAGAGTAGACCAAAGGAATAATGGAATTAGTATGCACACCCTCAGTTAAACATTGAAAGCATAAGCATTAGTACTACAGAAACATTCAATTAGCCATGTTTAACAGATTATACAGTTATGTAAAGTAAGCTTTAAAAATTAAAATGCAACACAGGCAGAAAGAGGGGGAAGAGAAGGCATGTTGGAGTTATAAGGGGTATGCAGAAAATCCTATATAAATGTATACTGCTATATACGTATACGCAGGTACCCTTGTTTGAGTAACAATGGCCTTAGAAAGTTAGAAGTTCCTTTAACTAGAAAACTGCAGCTTTAGTCCTATGATGCCAAAAATACCTAATATGGTAATCTCTTCTGTCTTCTGCTAGTAATGGTGGGGCTCATAAATATTATTGAGTACTGGTAATTAGATGGAGTTAAACAGATATGCTGTGGTCCTGATGAAATCAAAGGTCTCCTGGTAACTGAGGTGTAAAGATGTCTGCATACAGTGTCTCTAGAGTGATGACAGAAAGAGGTTGGGTATCTGCCCGCTCACCAATCCTGTTCATAGCACAGCCTCCTAGGAACAAAGAGTTCTTGCTCAGGCTTTTGAATATCTGCAGAGATGTGTAGGGTGACTGCCTGACAGCCTGTCAGCATGGCAAACAGCAATGGCTGTGTGGGGCCGGACAGTGACAGTTCCTGTGCAGAGAAGAAACTATGTGATCCCAGTGTGGCGATCGGCATCCCAGTAATGAAGATCCGTTGCCCAAAGTCCCATGGTCACAGACCCACAGTCTCTCTCATGAGGAGAACAGCAGTCCCCCCACTACCAGCTCTGAATCCCACGCCATGAGAGCGAGTCTGCCACTTGCAGTAGAATATATCCTCTGTCCTAGAATCCTTTTGCTTTGCCATCTCACTGGTATGTGTAGTTCAGTCAGACTACAGGTTCCAAGATCTTCTGCTTCCCAGGAGATTTGGCTCTATTCTGTTAACAGGAAGTGATGTAGCTGTCCCAGTACTTGGCACTAGGGGAAAAAGGCTCAATCATAGTCCCATCTGTAAATGACCCTGAACTGCATAGTGGCATAGCCAGCACTTGGCTACACTGGTATGTGAGTCCTTAAATTGTAAACTCCTTGAGAGCAGGAACTGATATAAATGTGCAATATATAAATTGCTGTGTTAATTGTTGGTACTATGTCAATACCTGTAATAAATTTAGCAGACAACTATTGACTTCTTTAATGAATTTGCTGAACGTAGGCTCCCAATGCCTATGTTGTGACACATGACACTGTAAGGCTATAGCAATCTGTTAAATTGGCTTTACCCACTTGAATGTTTTTATTTAGTAAGGCCTTATGCTTACTTTAACTTAAATGTTTAAAACTCTAAGTATGGCCTATAATATTATGTACTGAAAGGTGAACGGCCTTTTAGATGCGGTTGTTTTTCTTTAAGCATTTTTAGCACTTTTTAGACAGGTTTTTACATGTGATACTATTCATCCCCATGGAAAGTGTATTTTGATGGAAACCACACCAGAGATGCAGCAAGTGTTTTTTTTTTAAGCACCGCACCTGTGACACAAAAGAACACAGAGGTGTGAATTCACACTCCATTCTGACCCTGGACAGGCTCCATAATACAAATTAGATGATCTCTTCATCCAGCCATGCAGAATAAAATGTTGTCTGTGTGAAGTGTAACTTAACAAACTAGTAAAACTGTATCCCATATGCAAGTATACCTTGCATCATGTTTATACACAGTTTCAAAGTTCTTCAAATAAAATGATTTTCAGAATTCAAGCCTGTTTAACATGTTCTGACATATGACAGCATGTTCAAAGTATATTCAGTGCCCTTCCTTCGGCATCAACAATCCTCTTGCAATAACCTGTTGGCTTGCAGCCACAGTTATGTTGCTCTACAATGAGCCCTTGGCACCATATTACTGGGCATGTACATGCACAAGATTTGACAATGACGTCTATGGTGGTGGGAAGAGTTTTCTAGGAAGTCTACACCAGGATCAAAGGTGGCATTGGCTTTGGCTAGAGGGAGGTTGTGTGGCCTGCAGCACTATACACAGTAGGACAAACGATCTTTTCAAATTGGACTTGTGAACAATATACAATATATATATGTATCAATGGACTTAGCATGGAGGATTTTAATTTTTTTGTAACCAGTGAACTGCTGAGTGTAAGCTCATGGGGAGTCCATGGAAGCCACTGTGTGTTTATAAGCATGTAGGGCAGGCAGGTGATACTCCCTCCATGTTCACATGGAAAGCCTACCCCAGGGTGGGTTCTTCTGGGCTACGCTATGCACCTCTAACAGGATCACTCTACTAGTATACATATGGGGTACCTAACTTTAAGTAGAGTCCATGTACTAAAAGGTCCATCAGTAGCACTCCTCAGTGGCTGGTGTCTTCGGGGGAAACCCTAAGTCTTAGTGCCTCTACATCTCACAGCTCCATCAGTGGCTGCACTTTTCATGAATCACAGACAAAAGCAGGGCCCTATACTCTCTCTTCACAACAACTGGGCTTTATGCTCTGGATAACCGTCCCTCTTTTATACTGTATCACAGGACCAGTGGGTCGGACCCAAAAAAAAAGACCCAGGAAAAACATTAGCACCTAATGTGATTTCTATTGTCTCTGTCATTCTTCTGCTATCTGCACTTCTGTCACTTCTGACCATCTTATGCCAACACCAAACAATCCTGGGCGACAGCCCTGCCTTCACACAGCATATTATTGGCAGCCTCAGCTGTGCATGTTTCCCTATGAGACAGCGTAGAGGGGGTGTGTGTCCTTTCTTCCAGTTATTTTTCAGATAACACTCTGCTCTATGCTGTGCAGTGTGTGATATCAGAGCCCCACCCCCTGCCTTCTAGAGCTGAGAAATTCTGTGTAAATTCTGGACTTTGAACAGATGTAGAGAAGAAAGGGCAGCAAATAAACAGGTACAATGCATCCTGGAGAAATTGATAATCTCTGTGTATCACCTGAGGCCAGTCACTTTACTGGGTATACGTAAGGGTTTACAATCATTTTGAAATAGTTGCAAATTACACGTCCTTCAAAGTAGCA